TTCAGACTTGGATCGGATGGCGAAAATCACCATCTTTATGGCTAAAGCTCACAGAATAAGAAGCTTACAAGAACATTAGCATCTTATTCAGATCTATAGACATGCATGCTTGAGGTATTACACAATAAAATAATCTACAAATGTAATATATATTCATCTAAATGATTATACTTTTTAAGGCAAAATCACATATGTATCATCCAAGAATGTAGATATCACTTAGGAGCCGTTTACCAAATACCTACCCGATAAGTGTTTACCAATAAAATTTAACACTATTATAAACTTACCTGGTAAGATTTTAGGCCACCAAAACGACATCGCATGCAACAATTTATCCGGTAAGTGCTTACCATGGTAAGAGTCGTCGCCCTCACTTACCGGTTAAGACTCTTGGTCTTTGTCTCGCTCTTACCAGGTAAGATTCTTGGCCATTACAAAATATTCATCCGATGAGGTAATATGACTTGGTAAGCGCCTACCCGAATAAATGTTTCGTAAACGGCCCCTTACATATGAAATTTCAAATAGTTCCAGAACAATATATGTGAAAGAAAATTGTGTGCAGGATGACTGCAAGCATTTAGTCATATGACTAACTAGGTGAAGGAACATGTGAGAAAGAAAGTTAAGGTTAGAAACCTAAGAAAGGATTTGGACCTTTGGTCACTTTTAATCTCAAACTCACCCATGAATCTTGCTTGATACGGGGATTGATCCGATGCATCTCATCCTAATGTGTACCCAATGGTGGATATCTCTTCTTACGCTTCTCACCTTAACTCTTCTTCTCACCGGAACTCAACCCTGACTAACTATATGTAATATGAGTGTTATTTGCGAGCTAGATTGCACAAAAGTGATAACAGAGCTACAAGAGTTATATGAAGGCGAAGAGCTCATGAAACACAAAAATAAACAGACTGAATTGATTGCATAATTTAAACCTGAAATAAAAGATCAAGACTTTACTTTACCCTTTTCCTTTGGGAGTAGTTTTGTTTCAGGTTAGGGTGAAGGACGGCATACGGCAGAGGAAGGGCGGCAACCACCGGCAAGAAGCGCGAAAAACCACAGTAGCGATTTCTATGATGGATGGAGAGCGCTGTATAAGAGAGTGAATCGGTAGTGAACCCTAACTATATACATATCAGTAATCAGAGTTTGAATTGTCATTTTGAGGAATCGATGTGAGACTGAATCGTCACTTTGGATAAGAGTGTATGCGAATCTTGGGGATATAACCGTCTGAGAGATTTTAAGAGTGTATAACATAGTTAATACTGAATCATCACTTTGGGATGAGAGTGTATGCGAATCTTGAAAATATAATCGTCTGAGAGATTTTAAGAGAATTAACAGTACATGGTGCAACAAAAGTTGTTTTTAAGACTTTGACAAATATGCTTCATAAGTTAATATAGATATATAGATTTGTATGAATTCCCCCGTCTATCGTACAATTAACTCATAATATGAGATAAGTTGGTGCCCGTTTATGTGTCAATAATCGAGCTTTGAACAACTCTAGTGGTAGATAAGTTTCAAATACATGTGATAGGCGAGTTACTAGATAAATTACATGTGTCGTGTTTTCGAAGCTAGACAAGATACCATCAAATTAGAACGCGGAGAAAGCGGAATCGGGACCTTACTAGAGGAGATCGTTAGTTATGAATAATATTTTGAAATTGTCAACTCGTTTTCATGAAGCTCGTAAAGTACTGGAGAGGGTTCGTGACACATATAAGTTGGAAATTTTCTACCAAAATCATTTGAATAATGAGAAACAATCAATTGTAAAGATGTCAGTGTACACCATAAACATACAAGATGTAAATAAGATTGTTTGTTTTTGTAAACTGATAAACGTATAAATGTGCAAGCAGAATCAATATTGAGAAACTATTACCAACAAGTAGATATAAAACATAAATGTAAGCTAAAACTTATCAAAAATAATAGTTTTAACCCAAAAACAAGATGGACTTTCGATTCTAAGATTGATGGTTCCTTTTAAAAGCTTATAGTGTAACTGGATCGTACCACCACCAATCTCAAGAAAATTAGTTATGTTGAAAAAACACAAAAGAACTCTAAGAAATGTATAGCCATGTTCCGAAAATTTTCCAAACATAAAGAAGCACGTAAAATAAATTTCAAGAAAAGCAAGTCGACCCTTACATGGCATCATCTGATACATTGAAGGCAGAATTGGGTTTCATCGGACAACGTACTTTGAGCTCATCCGCTTCCATGTTGTGGTGTTCCACTTCACAGTACTTCCTCCTCGATCTAGTCAAGTTCAAAAATGTCCAAATTGATTCGTTAACTAGACCAGACGGACGACTAAGAAAAAGTAGATGGGAAAATGAGAAATAAAACTGAAAGCATAAAGTTGAGAATGCCAAACACCTCGCATTGGAGTGACGTATAATACTTGATCATTCACGCTATTTTTAGAAAACCTGCAAAATCCAAAAACTTCATCCTGAAGTTGGTTTTATATTAAGATCAAGTGGAAAACATGAACCAACACAGTGCTATAGATGTAGCTAATGAGCCAAAGTAAGCTAATGAACAAAACTGGAATGCTATTTAACAGACTAATTTGAACTTCATTCTTAGCCCTCTACCTTGCTGGCCATGAACCAACACAGTGCATAGATGTAGCCTCACACATTCAAACAATGAGAAAATGCTACTTGCATCTCCAATGGAAGAATGCTGCCTCGTCCTATTGATGAATTTACTTCATTCATGACACCCTGTTGAGTAGTGGAGTCTGATGCCTGCCTGACATTTGTTTGTCACAAAGCTTGCAGGAGTCAGAGGGAACAAGCTCCTCAGCAGAAGGAAATTTGTTTTTATGGCCCAAGCCCAGATGGCAACTTTTTCGGCCCATTCTCCACTATAAACATTCTCATCCTTATAGCTGTAAACCGTAAGCTGAATGAATAGAAGTGACTAGCTAATGCCGCCATGTACGTAGGTTAAATCTTGACCAAACCATGTTAATCTCGGTGTTTGATTACGTGTTGTTTTACTTGCATACTCTCTGTGTTTTTGCTTCTGTAATTCTCGTCTGTTCGGTATCCCAACTTCACATTAATGCCACCAAGATGGATTGAAACGAAAGCAAATAATGCTTGCATGAGGTATATGAAAAGCATTATGAAATATTTAAAAAACTTTCCACAACTTTAAATTAGAGAATTCTGTCATTCAATGCAAAGATTTCCAGACATATACCAATACAAGCATGCATTCGTTTTGATGTTTGCAATCATTAATTTCATATTAGGATAAACAATTACTAGGATTAATTTTCATCTTGTTTATGAGCCCGTATAAACATAGGCAGTTAAAAGATTTTATAGACCATAAGGGAGGTACATGTGGGATTGCACCAAGGTGTAGGCTTAAACCTTGCTATGAAGGAACTTAATTGGGATGATTGTTTGGAATAAGAAGGCCTCATGAATTGCACCTAGAGTAGGAGTCAAGCAATGTCCCAACTACAAGAAAAGCCATAATACTATCCCAAGTGGACTTCAAAAGCCGTTGGACTACAACCAAGGATTCCTAAGCATATGCTACTACATCTCATCAAATCCTATCATGTTGGATGCATGTTAAACACCAGGCATCTTTACAGCATAATATAAAGGACTCTCATGTAGAGATTAAAAACAACTCTTTAGTCATGTAGTTTGGAAAATTTTCTATTGAAAGTTCATCACCCATCCTCCATTACTCCATTTATCATACAAGGGAAGGCATCCCATCACAGACCTAGTGGAGAAGAACAAGATGGCTACACTTGGAGGATGGCTTGCAAGCCATGTAGTTTCCAAGGAAATTGACCAAACTAGCCATTTTGGAGGAACCTCTTCAATTTTTAGTCCATTTTTCCTATTGGACCAAAATAGCCAAGATTTTGCAAGTTGTGAAATGTACTTTTCTGAAATAAATATGATTTTGGTGGGGTCGGCTTGCGAAATGGGCGCTTTGGCTTGCAAAATCTCCTTAGTGGCTTGCGAAAGTGGGCCCACCAAAATCATATTTTTTTCATAAAAAGTACTTTTGCAAGTTGTGAAATAAGCACTTGCTAAATCTTGGCTATTTTGGTTCATACAAAAAAAAGAGCTAAAATATAAAGAGATTCGCTTAAAAGGGCTAGTTTGGTAAATTTCCCTTACCGTCTTCCATCCTTGAAGTCCTATATGTAAATTCTATTATTCATCAGTCTACTTTTCTGTAACGGAGAATAGGTATGATTTACTGGTCCATCTAATTTTTATGACCCCTTGTATGGTTCCTATCTTAGTTTCAACTTTCAGTTCTAAAAGATGTATGTTCATTTGATCTTGGTACTTCATTTGAATTAGTTAAAGGCCTCGGATAGTTTATCTAATTATTCACTTGTATAATATTAATTTCGTTAATGGAATAAAGATACCTTCGGATATGATCCGAGGTGACAGCTTGCAATCATATTGAAAGATTAGTAGTAGTAGTAGTTAAAAAAAGTTTGATCTTTTAGACCCTTGAAAAATTAGTTAATAACTGATAGTTAGCGAGTGATATAGAAAAGGAATATGAGGAATAAAAGGAATACATACCTTCGAATTCAAACTAGTTTAATTTTGACGATGAAGTGTTTGCCTGTGCTCACAATTTTCTGCCGCAGATTCAGCTGTAGCGAAATGAGAACTAAAACCACTGTTTATATAGAGAATTTAGTCACACATTTTACTGAATTCATAGCAATCCACTGAAAGATGAAACAATATCCACACCATTGAACAATTGAAGGGAAAATAGGCACCGAATATGAATAAATGGCGATTTGAATGACTGTGATTCCTGAGGGAAAGTCTCCTCTCATCCCATAATGTCAAACAAACATCATCTTTTCATCCAAATGGAATCACCATTTTCATTCCCTACCTTATTCCACAGTGCCAAACTTGTTCTAACTCGTTTAAAGAAAATCAAGAAAGCAACGATCCAAAACTGCATTTTGAATTCCAAACAACCTCTGTATGGGTTTTACACATTCCAAATTTCCAATTCAAATACTAGTATAAAAATGGTTTCCTGAGTTCAAAACAAGGAAGCAATAGAATTCAATTTTGAGACTACAAAAATGCTTCAGCACCAGCAACAATCTCGAGTATTTCACCGGTAATCTTAGACTGTCGTTCGCGATTATAAGCATTCGAGAGAGTCTTCGTCAAATCAATCGCGTTATCAGTAGCGTTACTCATTGCATTCATCCTAGCAGCAAGCTCACTTGCTAATGACTCCTGTAATGCCCTCAAGATTTGATTATTCAAATACAGAGGCATCAATGCATCAAGAATCTGAACAGGGTCTTGTTCAAACTCCATATTTGGCAAAAACCCCTCCTTTTTGCTCATCAGTTTATCCCTCTGCACATCCAATTTCCCCTCTTTTGAAGTCAATCGAAAGAACTCATCTTCTTTTGTATAAAGACAATTACCATTCTCATCACAAATATCTCCTTTAGCAGACAATGGGAGCAATGTATGAATCACAGGATTAGATTTAATCAAAGAAACAAACTTTGTGTACAAAAGCTCAACTTTATCAACCTCTTCACTTACAAACAATGAAAACACATCATCGGCAATCACTTGAGAGTCTTTTGCAGTTGGAAAACCCTGTCCTTCAATGAACTTATCAACCAAAACATTAGGTCTTCTTAAGAAATAAGAATTACCCTTTTTCCCAACACTAATAACAGTGTAATCCAGTCCAAGATTCTTCAATTCCGCGATTCGGGTTTGGGCTTTTCGAAGAATTATGTTGTTAAAACCCCCACAGAGACCTCTGTCTCCTGTTATTACAACAAGGGCAACTTTCTTGACAGGTCTAATGGCGGTTAAAGGTATGTCAACATCTTCTAATTGGAGTTGTTGATTGATGCTGTAGAGAACATCGATAAGTGCTTCAGAGAATGGTCGGCCGTTAACAACTGCTTCTTGGGCTCGCCGGACTTTCGCCGCTGCTACAAGCTTCATTGCTTCAGTGATTTTCTGTGTGTTCTTCACGGTGGTAATTCGCTGGCGAAGTTCACGAAGATTGCAGTTTATCGATGGGAAACGTGATAACCTTGAAGGGGAAGAGGCATTGGATTGAAACAATCTCGAATGATGTTGAATGAATATATGATCGGTTTGGCGAAACGGTTGATTTGAAGATGCCCATGACGAGAGATTAAGTTGAGACATTGATTTTGAATGAATCTTGCTGAAAAGAAAGTGGGTTTAACAATGGATTTATGAAAATTTTCTAGGGTTCATAAGGTTGGACATTGCAGGCAAGAAATCCAACAGTTGTCCCTCTAATCACCTGTCAAAGAAAGGTTTTCGAATTCAATGAAATCAAAAACAAACAAAAGGCTAGGAGAAGATGAGAGCCAACAATGGGATTTCACCGTCAAACGCCATCGAATTCGAATGCATGATGACAGCGGCAGGAAGCGACCCAATTAGGCATTGAAATGTGAGCTATTTGTCCATATGCGTATGGTTGGGAAGATCCTTGAATAAATGTTAAATTAAAATGATAAAATAATTGTTTTTGGGTGTAATTTATACGTTTCTATTGTGTCATTGTCTAAAAGTTATGATGATGTTGATACAGATAAATATATTAGAGTTGGATTACAACTGATATATCTTGTAGTTATCTACTTATAATTCATCTATATATAAAGAGTTTATGATCAACGAAATTTACAGATTTCATTCTCTTTATTCTATTGTTTTTTTTTCTTTTAGTTATTTTATAGCACGTTGTCAACACGTAAGTTCGGTATTCATTGTCCACTATCACTAAACAGTTGTTCTGTCCGATGCCCGACGGTCGACATTGTAGAATGTCTTGCTTTCTGCTACTTCAGTTCAAGTAAACTTTTGTATGTCTCCTTCTTTATGTATGAGTTTTCTAGGATCACGGTTATTTTGTTCGTTGTATGACATTACAGAATGTTTTTGTTATATTTTCATTGTTGATATTAATCAAATTATGGTTTTGAATTTTTGATTTAATTATTTAAATTAAAGAATTATATGACTTGGCTTTAATTATTTATTTATTTTTAGTAATTAAAGGATTAAATAGAAACTTCAAATATCGACATCTAAAGTCCAAACCTATGTGTTTCTTTTATTAATTAAATAAGGATTTAGGGTGTGTTTGGGATTGATTATTTGAAACAATTTATGTTTTTCTATAAAAACACTTATTAATTTATATATATTACATTATAAAACAGATTTATCAAAAGTCTTAAAAACAATTTTTAATGCATAAAATATTATACATTTATGCACAAAGTCTTAAAAACAACTCATAATGCATTAAGTACTACTACTTTATGCATTCAGTCTTAAAATCTAGTAATATACAATTAAAATAACATATAGTACAAGTTACCAATGCACATTATTACTTTTTCTTTTCATGTTCCAAAGATACGTTTGACACATTTCATCATTTATGCTTTCACCCTCTCATACATCTATGTCTTCTCCACATCCCCCAAGGTGAGATTCAAACTGATATTCACCATGAGTTATTAAAAGTTCTCATATTTATCTCTCATTCAATTGCTCTATAACTCTCAGTTTCGCTCTCGATCTCTTGACTCTTTGCTTTTGGTGTAAATCGAACACATTTGTGGAGTCGTTTAAATACGTTGAATTTTAAATATATTGGATTTTAAACTGTCATACAATTTTTTTCCATCGATAGACTGTAATTGGAACCGTAACTCTTATTTATTCAAATTGTATTGATATGTGAAGACCAAGTGTAACTTATATCATCGTTAAAATCTTCTCTAATAAAACCAGTGAAACTTCAAAATCGTTAAAAAATCACGGCTCCCGCCGCATTGCGCGGGTACACAACTAGTTATAAGTTAAAAGGGTTTAACTTATTCAAAAACCTCTTATTACCGGTTTAAGTTGTTTATCCAAACACTCAAAAATACTTATTACTGGTATCACACCGGAATATGTCAATAAGTTTTTTTTATAAGCAATCCCAAACACCCCTTTAATTTCTTTTTTGTATTATCTATTTATTGGGTTATTTATTTAATATTTATATTAGTATTATTCTAGTTTAATATAATTTATTTTTTAATTGATTTATTATAATTCTTTTATAGTTTTAAAAATACAATTGTTATTTGTTAGTTTCTTCTATTTGGGGTACCTAATGTAATTATCAATTATTATATTTAATGATTATATGAATTATAGATATTTATTTAAATTAACTATCATCGTTATTTAAAATATGTAATTCAAATTTTAAAGATGCTATTATTTATAAATAAAATTAAAAGAAAGAAAAATTTGCATATAGGTGTAATTAATTTAATAACATAATAACATTGTAGGTAAACTCTTATTCCTTTTGGCTTCTTGCCAAATGTTTTAAAAATGTCATTATCTTATTAAATTATCCGTATTTAATCTCATCTCTTGGTCTCATGTTAAAATCATTAATATCATCTATGTATTTTATAAATGATTAATCACAAGATATTGAAAAATGACCCTAAAACCGACTATTAAGGTGCAAGTAAAATTTTGAGACAATATACAAGTCATAACCTTTGAAGAGAATAACGTTAACTAGAAACCCCCAAGAACCATGGGACACCTCGAAAAGGAAAATCGGGAATATTCATTACCATATACTTTTCAAGCTAATCATACAATGGAATGAAACATACTCAATTGATTACAAGAAGGTGGCTGATTTAAACAAAGAAACGTCATGTCTCAAAATGTGTCTCAATCTTTATAGCAACGAACTCACAAAAGATGACGTGATTCTTAACCTTTTTTCCATCTTTCACATATTAACAATCATACTAATGAACGAGTATAAACTCGAATATAACCAAGATGATACCAAAATATATACAATATGGTACCCAAAAAAAGTAAACTTTGAGACTACTGTGGTACAATTGTTATACCAGGTATGGGGAATGCTCATAGGTGGGTGTTTAGTGATCGATCATCGGAGACGACGTCTTAGTCAGACAAGATGACTGGAGGAGGTCACAGGAGTGGTGGTACTGGTAGGTGCCAGAGAAAGTCATCGGATTTGGTCCGTGTGTGTCCGTGTATATATATACATATATTAATATAATTAAACTAATTAAAGTAAATTGGAATATTAAACTAATTAAAGTAAATTGAATAATCAACACAATTTACTAATTTACCATTTATTTTATTTTAGTAAATAACAATAATTATCTAAAATGATTGGCTCATATTGGACCTCACAATTACCACAAACTATCTAGTTCTCATTTGTATGTATGTGTGTGTAAGTATATACGATGTGAGAACTCCCCCCATTTCGTTGTCGTATACCGCTACCCACCCTTCTCCCATGCAACTCCACCCCTAAGCTTCACCGTCAATCTTCTCTCCAACCCAAGTTCACCGTTAATATCCTTTCCATCCTTGTAAACTTTGTGAATAATTCTCCTTGAAATCTCGCTAGACGGAATCCCGTAATGCGTCATGAACACAAATTACCGGTGACCACCCACCACACCCGCCTTGCTAAATCCTCTAGCCACCAACCACGACCACCATCGTTCACCTAACATTTGACCTTCAACCTTCCTCCCCCCAAAACCACCGTCGGCCCTTTCTGTAAACTACCAACCCCAGTGAGATCCCACTCCGTTTTCTTTTGAAACACAACGCCTCCTTTGTACATTAGGGTGCCTTTGGTACCCAGGCAAGAAATGACAAGACATATGTTCAGCTTTTGATAAGCTGGAACTGCATAGAACATAACTAGTAAATGACCAATTTATCCCTTATGCATTGCTAATATTATATATATATCTATACTATATTATAATGCATTTGGCTAAAACTCTTAAAAACTCTTGAACTCTTAAACTCTTAAAACTCTTAAACCCGTTCATCCCTAAACAATTTCATCCCTATCCGATTTCATCCCATAACTGAATTCGTGTAACTAACTGCAGATAAACACAATCAAATACAGGATAAACATCTTATTTTAAATATAAAAAATCTAAA